GGGCTCATAAACATGATGTCGATCACAGAACCCATTCCCGCCTTCTCGTAAGTGTTGGCTGACCCTGTGTTAGCCAGAGTGAGGCCTGACCAGGCAACAGCGTCCAACAATATGTGGCCTCTATGGTTTATGAGGCGACTGCCCCACTCCGTTGCCCAGGCGTTGAAATCGCCGGCAATGATGATGGGGTGTCGTCCTCTGGCGTCCTCCAGAATGTCGTCAACAATGCTGCCAAATGTCTGGGAGTCGACGCTGGGTGCAATGTAGCACGAATAGATGGTAAGGCTACCCACCTTCGCCCTGACAAAACCTCTGCCTGAATGCCGGCATTGGATCTGCAATCGTCTCGGGCTGCAGCTCCAAATTGCTGCACCACCTTGGGTGTTTTGAAACCAAATCCCATCGTGCTTACTTGCGTATGGCTCACTCAAAATGGCCGGGTCTATTTTTAAGGCTCGCACCGTTTGTGCAAGCAAGCCCTGAGCCGCTCTGCAATGGTTCAAATTTAATTGGAGAATTTTCATTTCCCCTTTGCTTTGAGAGCCTGCTGGTAAGCTGGGCAGCTTCTGCTTAGCGTGTGGTGCTTGCCGTTTACGCCATGGGTTTTTGCGCATAGTAGGCAGCGTGCCTCTTTGCTGCAGCTTTTGGACTCGTGATCGAGCCCACCGCAGTTAAAGCACGCTTTGGACAAATCGACCTTGCTACGGCAGTGCCAGGCCATGTGCCCAAATGCGAAGCATTTATAGCATCGCTTTGGCTCTACTGTTTTAAGCACCCTAAGGTGCGCCCAGTCGATGCGGATTTTTCCTTCCGCTAGGATCTTCTCCGCAAGAACGGGCGGGATGCTCATCCTGGCTACTAGTGTGTCCCCGTATGCCTTCCTTAGGGAAGGAATGGCCGTTGGTGGAGTATCGCTTTCATAGTTGGCGAAAACCGCCTGAATGATATCGTCCTTCGACGAGAACTCTGCTATGTCCCTAATCTCAACCTGGACTAGCTCCTTCAGTTCCTTGACCTCTGCCTTATCAGACAGGGTCTCCTGCATTGACTTATGTAATTTGGATGTGGCTGGGTCGGCCGTTTTCATCATTTTGATGAGGAGCTCGCCCCTACCAGTCATCCGTATGCCTTTAACACAATCTTTGTGTTGCTGTAAAGTTGGGTTGTTTTTTACCAACTTTAACACTTCGGCATACTGCATGCCCTCGCCACACTTGACGACTAGTGCGTCTGTGCGTGGAGGGAGTTTTCTCTGCCGCTGCTGCTTTTTTGGCTGCTGCTTCTTCGGTTTTTTGGTAACCGTCGACCATTTTTCCGCACCCTCCTTCGTGCTTTTGGCCGCATGGCTCGGCGGAAGAGGGCCGGAAATTTCCTTCGCTGCACTTGCGTAGGTGATGGATTTCACGACCTTATTGCTAGTGCCGCAAGGTTGCAGCCCCTTCTGCCTTTTTGGCGCTGAGAGCTTACCGGCTCTAGGGCTCTCACGTGACCTCTTGGGAGTGGGCTTTTGCTCACTGGGATTCTTTGGAGCCGTCTCCAGAATTCTAACTGCTGACTTTGGAGGGCGATGACCTGCTGCACGAGTTCCTTCATAGGAATCGTCACCATCACCCTCGTCTTGCCTAACATCATACTATTTAATTGGGACAATTTCGCCCCGATCGCGCCAATGACTCCGTCTATGTCGCCATTGGCGATAAGCGGAGCCAGTCCCTGCTCGGAAATTGCGCTGAAATGGAAGACCCCCGCTTCTGTGGGACCTCCAGCATGCGCCGTATCCGCCTGTTCCTGCTCTACTGCAGGCGAGAAAATGGGTGGAGATTTTGGCACCTTTGTCGGTGATCTCCCCATCTTGCTGCTCTTCCTAAATGGGTCAGCTGCCGGCGCAGCATAGTTTTTAGCTGCTGCGCTTTCAGCCTTGCCCTGAGGCGCCTCCTTAGTTATGCTAACCGGGCCAGGGCCACGGATCGCCATTCTTAATAATTCCTTTCCTGTTTCTACCTAACGCCTATGTGTATGCTGCACTTAAGGTCGGAGGAAAGCTTTCTTTAGAGCTTTCCCCGCGGGTTGAGAGCTCGGCTTACGCTCGCTAAGAGTTGGCAACTCTGAAGCGCAGCTGATCAGTCAACTGACCACGAAGATGGCAGACCCAATCACCCAATTCGGAAAATTGAGTGAAAAGGGCTTTCACTCACCTGCAGGGGGGTATCACCCCTTCGTCCCAGTGCCGAGCCGACGCTACTGGAGCCAGACAGATTCTGGGGTCCAGGGAAGACCTCGGCACACTGGTATGTTGCTCCTTCCACAACTATGGGTCGCTTCAACCCCTCTTCTTCAATTCCAGATGTCGCACACGCGGATCACAACGTAGGAAACTTGTTTTCGCGCACTCGAATATAAAACACGTCCGGTACGCAACGACTTTCCACTCGTCTCTGTGTGCATGTGGGTGATTTTTTTTTTTTTTTTTTTTTTGTATAGGGGGAAAGTTTGAAGAGCCGAAGTGTGGGTCTTTCACCCACTAAAACCCTGAACCTACTCTCCGTTTTCCTCTCACGGCACAACCTCAGGGGGTTAACCTTGGGTATTACTTCATGAGAGGGGAGATGGCCTGAAAGCCGCAACTAGTAATTAAACTAGGTTTGAAGTCGATTGCGCTGACGTTCAGCGCGACGCATGGATTTCATGACAAAGACTGTCATTTTGCTTACGGCATCCCAATTGTTTTGTGAGCCCAGTAGCGTATCCATCAAGTCAGAGACCGTGAACGGCTTCCCAAACGCTAAGCTGAGCTCATGCCTTAAAGCTTCGAATCTCGGACAGACAAAGAATACATGTTCTGCGTCTTCAATTGCCCCCCGCACAGTGTGTGCAAAAGGGGTCTGTCTCGTGCCCAAACCTATGGAGAAAGGATTTGAAGCACCCATATCCTGTCAATAGTTGCGTCATGTAGAAGTCAACTTGTCCGTGCTTTCTTTCTGTTCAACGCTCCACATCGAGCAAATGCTTAAATTTCCACCTACCTTTCGAGCTGCTACTCCATCGACTTTGCCACGCTGGGACCACTCGGCCGCTGGTCTCCTCCATCGATGGAACTCCGCCGGTCAGTTCCTGGGCCTGATTTGCGAGCAGGTCCAGGGGCGTCATGGCGGATAGGAACAGCGCACTTTCCTCGGAAACGGTCCGAAAGCCACAGATGACTCGGAGTGTGGCGCGTCTGTATGCCGCCCTGCACGAGCGGCTATAAGTAGGCGAGGTCATGGCCGGAGCCCAGATCGGTGCCGCATACATAATAGTGGATTTTACCACACTGGCAAGAAAGCGCCTACTCTGCTGTTTAGGCCCGTTTACATTCTCTAACATCCTAGCTAGGGACGTGGCAACTTTGGCCGCTTTGTTGAATTTGAACGTAAGCCGGTGATCCAGCATTACGCCAAGGTACCTAATGAAGGGCTTGGACCGTATAGTAGTCCTACCCACTATTATTTGGGCGGTTTCTACCGCCTTCCTGCTGCTAATCAAGACGGATTCCGTCTTGTGCTCGGCTAGCTTCAAGCCATTGGCACATAGCCAGTGGTAAGCTTGCTCGATGGACGCATTTGTTACAGCTTCGGCTTCATTTAACTGCTTCGCTACTGCGACGACGGCAATATCGTCTGCGAAGCCAATGATCGTAGCACCCTCAGGGAGCTGTAGGTTAAGTATTCCGTCGTACATGCAGTTCCAGAGGGTAGGGCCCAGCACAGAGCCCTGAGGAACTCCTGCTGAAACTGCAACTGCATGTGGGTGTGTGCGAGAGTGTGTGGCTTACCACATAAAATAGCAAGATGTGTAGGGTGGGTTTTATTGCAGGTTTTTAATTAAGGAACTATTGATGATGCGTAATAATTATTGTGTGTGTCTTCTGCGTCGCTGCCAGGGTTGTTGTTGTTGCTGTTCTTGTGTTTCTGGGTCTCTGGTAATTTTCCACTGGGTCTTAGTTTTACTCGCGCTACTTGTTTTGCTTTTGCTCGCGACCTGATCGCCTCGGAAGTTCTAAGTTGACTCGACCTGATCACTTCGGAAGTTCTACGCTGACTCCCCGATTGTTTTTCGCTGGCCTTCGTCCGAGCCTCGCGCTGCAGGCTGCGCTGCAGGCTGCGCTGCCGACTTTAGCTTGCGCAGGCTCTACGGCTGGCGTCGCAACCCGATCGTTGTTGGTTTTGCCAGATCGTAGCGATCGGGTGGTCGTTTGCAATGTTTCGGGTGGTCTTTATCTTCTCGGTGGGCTATTGATATTTTGCAATTGGGTTATATTTTCGTGAGGGTGGCAGGGCTATTTTTGTTTCTGGGCTATGGGTGTTAAAGGTGGCAACCACTGTGGGGTAGGTGGCGATTTTGTGAGTCGTCGCCTTCGGTGCCCTGGATGCTGGCCACATCCTCGTCGACGGCCATTAGCATCGCCAACTCCGATCGGGGGCTCCTGGGTATTTGCCGGGTTTGGAAGCACATCCTCGTCCGACACGTCGTCCACCTCGGGCCGGTAGTTGCTCGGATGGGGTGGACTTATCTCCACTGGGCGTGGCAGGCTTGCCGCGGACCGTCGTGGTGTGGTCCCGGTGGGAGTGTCATCTTGGCCCGATGGGGCTGGATCGGCTTGATTCGCCGAGGTTGCCTCTGCCTGGTCTGGTGAGGTCCAAGTGTTACCACCAACCTGGCGAGTCCCCTCGGTCCGGTGTGCTGCGGCCATTTCACTCTGCTCTGGTGGGGTTCACTCAGCCTGGCTCGGTGGGGCCTCCAGCCTGGTTTGTTGCCACCCACTCGGCTGTGCGGGCTTCGCGACGTTTTTTCTCTGCTGCTCGCTTCATGGCTGCGGGAGATTTGGGTATGTAATTAAGAGTTCTAAAAGTTACTACGTTGTTAGTGGAGGGAATGGGAGTAGGGGTGTGGTTCCACGGCTTGGTCATTTTTGAGGCTCTTGGTGCTCTCGGCTGGGTCAGCCGCTGCTTGGTGGTACTCCTTCAAGTCACTGATGTTTGCCGTCTGACTATGTTCGGGGAGATGAATCTTACGACCTTGAATGACCCATTGAACTTTCGGGCCAGCTTAGCAGAGAATCCATCCGCTGCCTTCGAAAGATGGTGTTGCTTTACCAAGACTACCGCTCCCAGCTGAGGTCTCCATTCCCTTCTTCGGAGGTCGTAGTGTCGACGCTGCCCTTCGGTTGCTTGCTGCATATTTTCCTTGGCTGCTTGGATGACTGCGTTGCGGTGATGTGCCTGATCTTCGGGTCCTCTCGTCTCGCTTCCTATCCCAGGCGTGACTTCGTCGTAGAGGTTTCTTGGCAGATGTGGTTTACGGCCCAGCACGAGATAGCTGGGGCTGAAACCGGTCGAATTGGAAATACTGCTGTTGATGGCGAGGGATATTCCTGGTAGCAGCTCATCCCAGGTGCGTTGTGATTCCTGCAGGTACTGGGCTATCATTGTTTTTACAGTCCGATTTGCCCTTTCGGTAGGGTTCTGGTGAGGGCTGTACGGCGCAGTGTGTTGCAGCTTGCACTCCAGCTTTTCCAAGAATTGTCTAAAACCGCGGCTGGTGAACTGGGTGCCATTATCGCAAGTTAACTGTCTTGGGACACCGAATCTGGAGAGGATTCTCTCCCGAAACGCTCGAATCAGCTGCGCTGAGGTGGCCTTGCGGAGTGGAACCTATTCGACCCATTTCGAATATTGGTCGAAGAACACTAACAAGCTTGTGTTCCCATGTTTTGAACGGGGCAGGGGTCCGACGAAATCTCCACAGAGGATGCCAAATGGTTCCTCCGCTTGCCGGGTGAGCATGTGTCCTGATGGCTTCTGTTGACTCACTTTAAACCGTTGGCAACTGTCGCATACTGGACATCAAACCGGTATTGCTGGAGTTCTAAGGCCCAGCGGCCTGTTCCTCGAGAACTAGTGAGATGTTTAAGAGGGGGCTTAGCTGAGGCCACCAGGCGGGTCGCAGGTTGCGGATAGCGAACGGCCTTCTTCGTAAGGTTAGTTGTGAATAAGCGCAAGCTAATAAGCAACCCCGGACAAACAGCGGGTACACCGAAGTCGGTGTACTGATAAGACGCTTGTCTGGCCGTCTTCAAATTATAGCCTCACACACCCCTCTTCCCTCACAATTATCTACCAACTTCCCCTCCCACAATCTCACTCCGCTGCCGGACTAAGGTGTCATCCAACCCGTGCCGATAGTCAGCCTGGCTGGGGCCCGGACTAACAACTAGCCCAGACTCTCACGGAGGGTTCAGTCAAGTGGCGACCGCCTGTCCTAGCTATGCCTTACCCGGGTATGGCGGATCTCTGCCCGGGCGGACCCTACATTCTCCGCGACTCGTGTGATCTACTATGAGAAAGAACAACACAAACAAGCTACCGCAGGACATCTCTGCCTCGAGTGTCGCAATACACTTCGAAAATCAACTCCTCGACGGGGAGCGACCACAGGTGGGACCATTCCCACCCAGGAGCGCAGCCACCGCCAGGAGTGCGTCTCGGACGCAAGATGTGGGACATCCCCCACAATGGTCAACTGTTCCAGTCCGGGAACGTGCGCGACCAGCAGGACCATCCCGTCTGGCTCGCCCACCCCCCGCGGCTGGACAGAGGACCAGGCCTGCCAAAGGACAACCTGGAGGCCTAGACGACCCCAACAGGAGAGGCCTGCCGGGGTCCAAAACAAAATGGTACCTCAGATACCTCCAGCAGGGCATGTCACCTGACGAGGCACTGAGGAAGGCAAAGGAGCCACGACCAACGGCCCCAAGTAGTGCACCTGCCAGCAAGCGGGGTAACAGCACCCTCACCCCTCCGACGGACACCCCAAAAAGGTCGAAGTCAGAGGGCACTAATGAGGTTAAGGCTACTCCCTCCTGCCCACAGCCTGAAGAGCCTTGCACCTCAAAGGCGGCGACAGAAAGGAGACCTTCCCCTAAGGCATCTGCTGGAACACTCAGCGTACCGAAGGAGAGTGAAGGGAGTGCGAAGCAGCCAACCTCCATCTCCACAGCCCCTCTCACTGGCACAAACACCTCCTATGCGGAGGCCGCCAAGAGGGTCAGAGTGGCGGTGTTACCTGAGGATTTCCCACAGGTGCACTTGAGCCACGAAGAACTGTCCGAGTTGGAGGAGGCCATCATGGACGACGTAATCACGTCGGCATGGGACACGGCAGTCGCGATTAGGGGCACCCACTTCAGGGTAGGATACCTCCTCATCGACTGCCTGGACCAGGACTCAGCGGACTGGCTGAGGGCCGTTGTGCCCTTGCTCAGAACGTGGAAGGGCGTGCCCCTAGAAACCAAGGTGGGAGAAGATATCCCCGCGGCATATAATGTCACGGTCTTCTGCCCCAGAAGCTCGGAAAGAGAAAATGAGGAACTCCTCACGATGCTTGGGCGACAGAACAGCCTGGAGACGGATGCCTGGGGAGTGGTCTCCCGGAGGAACGATGGAGGCGGAGCACTCCTTGTCATCGGGATCGACCAACTCACCCGAGACGAGATCGTAGCTAGAGGGCATCAGCTCAACTTTAGGTACAGTACCGTCTCGGTGAGTGGGCTGAGAAAGGCGGCAAAGGAATCCCTCGACGAGCCACAGGAGCCTATGGGTACAGAGGAGGACCCTGGCGCCGTTACAGACGTGAGGAATGAGGATGAAGGCATCCTACGCCCTCCGACAATAACGACGAAATGGAGGCCGACGTCACTCTGACGGATGGCAGTGAAGGGGAACACCCGCCCCCTTCACCAAAGATGGAGCATCCGCTCCAATGATGGCTGCACACAGCAGCACGAGGCTAGCCCAGGTGAACCTGCGGCGGCATAAGCAGTCCTGGCCAGGTTGTTCACCAACCAACATCTCGGGCTAGCTCTCATACAGGAGCCTTGGTGCAATCAGGGCATTAAAGGCCTGTACACCAAGGAATCAAAGGTAATATGCGACCAACAGGGTGCACACCCTAGAGCATGCATTTTAATAAGAAAAGACATCAATTATTATATCTTTTCAGAGTTCTTAAGCAGTGACTGTGTCGCGGTAACTGTGAGCGGCGCAGGAAGGTTACCAGCGATCGCCATAGCATCGGCGTATTTTGCTGGGGATGCAGCATGCCCACCACCGGAAATCATCGGACTCGTGGAATGCTGCAGGAGGAAGAAGATGCCCCTAATCATCGGATGTGACGCCAATGCACATCACGTGATATAGGGAAGCACCGATGTCAACAACAGAGGTGAGCAGCTAATAGAATTTATTGTAAATAGTAACCTAGAAATCGGTAATGTCGGGTCCACACCGACATTCATTACTAGAGTAAGAGAGGAGGTCCTAGACATAACTCTTATGAGCAGGTCTCTAGGACCACTTATTAAGAACTGGCATGTGACGCCAGAGGAATCAATGTCGGATCACCGAATCATTAGATCTGAATTAGACTTCAACACCGCTAGGGACGCCCCCAAAAGGAATCCCAAGAAAACAAACTGGGATCGGTTCAAGTCCTCTCTTGTGCTCGATCTCTCTAACGAACTGTCAGGTATACCCAGACATTCTTTAGAATTGGATCAGGCAGTGGAGAACCTCTGCAAGAAGATAACCAATGCTTTTGAGGACAGTTGCCCTCTTGGCAGACGGAAACCAGATAGAGACGCCCCATGGTGGAATGACAACCTGGAACGGCTCCGAATCTCCACCCGCCGGCTCTTCAACAGAGCAAAAACGAGCGAGGAGACAATAAAAACAAAGCCTGACGCTCTATAACAAAGAGATCAGGAAGGCCAAACGGAAGAACTATAGAGACTTCTGTGAGGCAATCAGCACAGCCCATGAAGGGGCAAGATTGCACAAGGCTATGGCCAAAGTTGCACCAGAAAGTAACCTAGCCCTGAGGAAATGTGACAACTCTTACACTTCCGACGACAGGGATAAACTAGCTTTACTCTTTAAAACACACTTCCCCGGGAGCTCACCCCTGGCGGAAGATACGTCCAACCCAATGGAGGCATCGTCCACTCAAAAACACCTCAGACCAAGCGCAGAGGACTGGGCAATTGCCAAGACTCTAGTCTCTCCGGAGAGATTTAAATGGGCAATTGGGACCTTCCAACCATTTAAGTCACCTGGTCTGGATGGTATCTCTCCATCATTCCTGCAGCAGGGACTGGACTTACTCCTAACCCGCTTAAGGAGACTGACGCTAAGCAGCCTAGCAATTAGACATATCCCAAATGCGTGGCGTAGAGCTAGGGTGGTCTTCATCCCCAAAGCAGGGAAGAAAGACATCACCAACCCAAAGTCCTTCAGACGTATCAGCTTAACTTCGTTTTGCCTTAAAACGTTAGAAAAGCTGGTAGACTACCATATTAGGAGCACAGTTCTTAAGAACTGTCCGCTGCAACCCACGCAGCATGCTTACACGGCAGGTCGTTCAACAGACTCTGCACTGTAACAACTTTGTCACACTCTTGAAGGGGCAGTGGACAACAAAGTAGTTGCAATCTGCGCCTTTCTGGATATAGAGGGAGCCTTTGACAATGCGTCGCATGATGCTATCTTAGCGGCCCTCGCCAGAAGGAATATAGACGCGACAACAAGAAGATGGGTTGGAGCCTTGTTAAGCTCCAGACAGGCAATGGCGACCATTGGCAACAGCACAATGACCGTTGCCACAAGCAGAGGATGTCCGCAAGGTGGAGTCTTGTCTCCCTTACTGTGGAGCCTACTAGTGGATGAACTACTAAGGAAACTCGCCGATAGAGGAATACAATGTCAGGGCTATGCCGATGACATAGTAATAGTAGCCAACGGAAAATTTGAAGAAACGCTTTGCGATATTGTCCAACTCAGACTCAAGATAACGCTCGACAGGTGCAGGGAAGTTGGACTTAACCTCAACCCCGCAAAAACAGTCATTGTTCCTTTTACAAAGAAGTACAAACTAAAGAAGATGAGCCAAATCATGCTACTAGGTACTCCCGTAGCTATAAGCCGGGAAGTTAAGTACCTCGGAGTTACCTTCGACAGGAGGCTAACGTTTGCAACCCATATGCAAAAGACAGTGGATAAGTGCCTCAGTGCTTTCTTCACCTGTCGGAAAATTGCAGGGAAATCTTGGGGGACCTCACCCCAAATTATCAGATGGCTATACCTTATAAGTGTGAGGCCAATACTCACATATGGGGCAGTAGCCTGGGGTAAAAGAGCTAGGCTCGTTACCGCACAGAAACAGCTCCAAAGGCTGCAAAGACTGGCATGCAGATGTATGACAGGAGCAATGAGAACCTGCCCTACTGCGGCACTGGAAGTTCTCATGGAACTCACTCCGCTACACTGCGTAGTAGAGTTACAGCGGAAGGCCACCCTACTAAGAATCACTTCATGTGGTAATGGCAGTGACCGCATCCTCAGTTCTAGGGATGCAGCAAAACTACTAGTCGAAC